CCAACTCTAAGGTAATGTGTTTGAATCCTGAACTCATTATTTTCTATGTCACTCGTACCAATACGATGTAAAAAGTCTTACTTTGTAGGTTTTTTTTTTTTAAGATTTATACTTACGACTTAATTATGTTTCTTTCTTTTTACATAAAATTATGTATATTTTGAGATGTAATTTGATATTTGTTTTATTATTATATTTTATATTATATAAAAGTAAGATTTTTGTTCTTATAATCTGGATTTTGATAACCTTATTTATTATTATAATTGAAAAAATAAAATTATACATAAATTCTCAGTGATATGCATTCACTAGATGAAAAAATTGAAAAAAATTGGATTACTTTGATTGTAAATGGAGGAGCATCCAGAAGATTCAATTAGTGTAAAATGCAATCAAACTTAAATATTACACTTTTACATCAAAACTGTGTATTGCGAGAGCTTTTTTTTCTTAAAAAGTAAAAAGAAAAATTGACACAAATCACTGTATTAAGAAATAAGCAACAGTTCTTGTCCAAGCTCAAAGTGCTTTCCAAGAACCCCCTCACATAATAATTCTTATTAAGACATTGACAAAAAGATTTGATCTAGCACCTTTGAAAGATATTCTTACGAAGCAAATTGGTTTGCTATTGGAATCTGAGTACGAGATTTCGAGTCTTTTTGCCCCATAAAAGAAATATATACCTTACTACTTGCATGTATAATATTAGTGTATGGTTGTACACTGCAATATATTACTCGATGATTAATATGTAGCTCATATCATCTATTAAGGTTTGAGAAGACATTACATAAACTGAGTGACTTTTAAGATAAGAATGCAAAATGATAGGTTCTTTATGGATATAGCGAATGTTGTATCAGCATTTCTATGTATTTACAAATTCACCTTTTGGTACAAGAAATGCGCAGTGCATGAGAAGAATAAACAAAGTGAAAGTTTTTATGATTGTAGTTCTTAATCTACGCATGGTAAAGTAAAAGTATATATCATAAATCAACTGGGGGTGACCTAATAAAGGCGAACAGCAATGACCAAACCACAGAAACAAAAAGAAGAAAAGAAACCTGGCAAAAGCCAAAAGCGATCTTTGAAATACTAATTCAATACTCAAAAGAGCTCCAGAAAAATCAAACATGAGATCTTGGGATGAGATAGTTAAATCAGGTTTGCATTAACCACTGGCAGGAGTATTATATATGGTCCTTGCCATGTCCTGTTACCATCACACACACTCTGCAACTTTAATGTTATTATGGTAGCCAGACATGAATATACGAGAGGATTCGCTTAGATTATTGTGTTTGAGCATAATATTATAAACAAATTATGTGTGTCCATAAACGTACGTGTGCTTAGGGTTTAGTATGAATGAAGAAAGAAGAAAGTGGCGTGTAATATGTAGACATGTGGCTGGGAAGTCGCAGTCATGGCGTGTGATGAAGCACTGCACTTATGAATGGATTAAAGAGATCAGCAAATGGTGAAGGATTGATTATCCATTGCGATTATGGGGCTGGTAGCCGCAATTGCAAAACTCTATATTAATGCATGTGGGTGTATATATATATATATATATATATATATATATATATATATATATATATATATATATATATATATATATATCACACATACATATTAAGCAACCTTTGAGTCTTTCAGTTGTTAAATCAACCACTTGAGACTTCTGAGTGTGACTGAATCGTGATGGAGAGAATGATTCCTGCGAGCAAATCCAATAGAAATCCAGAGGCTGAAACCAGCAACAACTTTATTATGAGCATTTTTATACTTAGATCTGGATCACATATCTTTAAATGCAAAAAATCTATTATTTTTAGATTTTTTTCCTATAAAAATTGAATTCTTAGTACAAAAATCTTAAAGATATTTAAAAATATTTACCAAGTCCTACTTGCAAGAGATTTTTTAAAAATTAATCGAGATCTTAACATAAGAATTAATTAAGATATTATATAATATGTAATATGAAAAGATCCCTAAGAAGTATATAGATCTCTCACTCTTGTTAGCTATATAAATTAACAATAATACACACACACACACACACATACATATATATATATATATATATATATATATATATATATATATATATATTCCTGGATTGCAAAAATCTACATGTAATCCTTGATGATGAGGACATATCATGTGCATGTTCATAAACAACATGGACACAAGATAATCTAATATCCTGTTAAATATGTTATGCATAGTTGTTATACACATATATTATTATGACATACATGTTCAAAAGACCTTTGTCTGTGTCGGTAAATCCTTTATCTCTCTCCTCGACGTGGGACCAGAGAAACAATAACAGTAGTAGTGAGATCCAACCCACCAAGATACGGATCAAAGTAGTGGTACTTGAAGTACTGCCAGGGCACAAAGCAAAAGCATTTTCTTTAAAAATGCCCTACACCAATATCTTCTCTTCACTGGTTAATTACTGTGCACGACTCTAATTTCTTAATCACTGCAAATTATGCAAAGCTAAGTTATTAAAAAAGAGAAAAAGAAACCCTTCTCCACTTGTCTCCTCGTACGTTTCCTTGTTAAATTTATAATAATACCCCACCCTTGAATCAAGCACTTTCCGCGTAAAAAGTACAGCTGTAGACAAATAAAATCAGATTGGAGATCAAATTTAGCTTAAACATTTTGCCAATTTGATCATTTGTTATCATTAACCACGGTTCTTTAGTTAGGAGCCACAACTTGTTAAATCCATTAGATTGTGATCTATCTACTTGCATCGAGTGAAGATTGTAAAACAATTTCATGTATGGCAGAAAGGATTTGGGACCATTTTTCTATCCAATGCATATATATTATGACATGACAGGCCAATAATAATTAACATATTGCAGATATCGTATAATATATATGTACAAGGAATGACGAAAACATACATGAGATAGGAGCTGTACGAGAATATACGCTGTTGCATACAGGTGGAGTTTATATACTACAGTTTTTGGAACTTTAATACCCAACAAACCAAAGTTTCAGCAAGTTGCTGGTAAAAAATTTTAACTATGTATATTGTTGATTGGAATTGGAAACTTTTATGATAATAACTGTGTAACAATTATCCTTTATTTTTAGGTATTTAGACAGTTATATATATAAACCCCAAATAGTTCATCTTAGGGTAAAGCCAGTGATCACAGAGAAATGGTTATATGGGTAGTTAAAATACTAGATTTCTATACGGATTCGGACATTCAAACACAAACACGAGCAAGTTGAAAATGTTGGGGGAAAGTAGCATTCTTCTTTGAAAAAATGTAAATGCCACCTGTAACATCACTATCTGTCGGGTAAAGTAGGTGATAAAACAATTTTACAGCAACTTTCAGAACTTGTTTAACTCTGTACCAAATGGATTTCATTTTGAAGAAAAGAAGTTATAAATTAATTCAATTAAAAATATCTTTTGCTTTATTTTATTTACTTTAACCCTTTCATATCAAAATGTTTTTTCAAGTGAAGGGAAGTCTTACAATCAGTATTCGAAGATAAACTTTAGCAAGTGAGATATAATTCATGATTTTTTACATTGGACAAATTTTTAAGAACTAAAACTGAACTATAAAAATTTTAAAATAATTACTGTTCAATAAATAACATGCTTGATTAATTCAATTATTTTTACTTATTATATAATAATCATGACATAAGTGGACCAAAGCTAAACACTAAGGAGTACTGAAAAATCGATTTTTGAACTGTGCAGAATAAATTTGCATGCTGAGATTTCTGCGTATTTCTTCTCAACAAGTTCGAAAGTTTTCACAACTATCTTTTCCTATATTTCAGGTCCATTTGTTCTATACCAAACAGAAAGAATATATTATTTTGACAGCAACATAAAATTAATTCTCATTCAAAATAAACAAGAATTTTCAGTGATCTAGAAATGCATAAACAATCAATCAATCAATTTTGGTTCCTCAGAGACATTAGAAAGGAGAAATTCAGTAAAATCTCTTCTTTGTATCCTTTTCACGTGCGACAATTGAGTATAATGTAGACAGAAACCCGACATTAATTTTTGCCCTAAACAGTGGAGGTGTGTATGCGAATGTTGTGTATCATAATCATATCTAAAAAGAATCTTCTTTTTCATATTGCACTTTTTTGGTTATGCTGTACATGGGAAGCACACTCGCAAGGACGACACAAACATGAGGTTTTGCCAGCACCTGCCACACTGATGGAGAATTGAAGGGTTGTCAAACCATGTGAAACACTCAAAAATTATTCCTACGGTATATATGAAACTAAACTCGATTTGTTCTGTTAAGTTTAAAGGAAAAACAACAGTGGAGGGTGAGTTTTGAACTTCAACGTGTCGCATTGGAAGAGAAACATGTTACCTCGGGTTCACCAAAAGGGATTTGGCAGCAATAAAAACAAAAACCATTTCCTGAACTTTTTCATCTGAGCCAGTACGGATGAGGCCACTTAGATCAACTTTTTATCATAGGGACCCAAAAGATGGGACATTGAAACAACCTTGAATGAAACCATCCTTCACCAAGATTCACAACTCCTTCACGGGCTCACTGTGCCACTTGGCACATCCTACTTCGTGTAAAGTGGAAATAAAATGGACCCATCATAGATAGCCAAATTAATATGAGAAACGTTTTGTCAGTGGATGTTCCATATCATCATAATGCTTCCAATCTATCTCTAACAACCAAGATAAAAAGTTTAATTTCCACTCCTTGCCAAAATCCCCTTCGGAATATTCTAAACCGACCAACCACTCACCAAACAACAATAATAGTTTCATTTTCTAATCAAAGAAAGCTACCTAGCAAGTAGCTACATCATAATCATATATGTTATACCCTACTGTGCTAACTTCCCTATATATATATATGTATATAATTGCCTAAGGCCTAAGATAACCAACCTCAAGCTTCAACTAACTCTTCTTCGAGATCCCACCAAACATGTATGCTTCAACTTCCTTTACTTCACAATTGGTCCATGACCTTCTCATGGGCTCAAGCTCAAGAAAGCTACTACTTCAAGACCCACTTCACCAATCAATCAACTCAGCTGACCGAGCCAACTCCCCAGATTCCATGGCTTACAACTCAACAGATTCGTATTTCAAAGGTCGTGACTTCGATGCAAATGTTGTCATGATACTCTCAGTCCTATTGTGTGCTGTTATTTGCTCACTCGGCTTGAACTCCATCATAAAGTGTGTCTTAAGGTGCTCAAACATAGTCATCACCGACTCTTCAAGTGGGAGCTACAACCCTTCACCAAGATTGGCCAACACAGGAATCAAGAAGAAAGCCCTCAAGACTTTTCCTACTGTGAGCTACTCAACAGAGTTGAAATACCCAGGTTTGGACACAGAGTGTGTGATATGCCTCCTTGACTTTGACAATGGTGATAAGGTTCGCATTTTGCCAAAATGCAACCACGGTTTCCACGTTCGTTGCATTGACAAATGGTTAAGTTCACACTCATCATGCCCCAAGTGCAGACAGTGCCTCATTGAGACTTGTAAGAAAATTGTTGGATCCCAACCACCAGTGCCAGAAACCATTATAAGGATCCAACCACTTGAACCTGAAGGTTTGGAGCGTAACTATAGGGAAGTATGCTAGCTAGCTAATACTACTTTAGTCCTAGAATGAATGCCTTCAGTTTTTGTAACTAGCTGAACCAATCAACCATAATCATTGCGGTGGTTGTTGAGGAAGTAATGTTCTGAAACTTTCACTTGTTTTGTTCTGACCTCAAAATATGTTAAATTTTTGTTACTGCATTCTTTTCAATGGAATTATGAACTTATTAATTGAACCAGGATTTCTTCTGTCTTTATGAAATTTAATTTAAAGATTAAAGTGAAGTATTTTAGAGCACGAAAGATAAAGGAAAACACACTATAATCTGTATTTTTATGGTCACCAATGTATATTTCATTATTATTTCCACTTAACTAATATTCCTAATACTTAAGCTGACCATTTTGAATTCTTTCTTAATCCGAAATTCACTAAGAATTGCTTACTATATAATAAAAAATACACATTTTTTTTTACATTAACGTTCTTACTTTATTTATTTAAAAGTAGAGAAGAGTAATATCAATATTTTAATTAGGAAATATCACTTGTGCTTGATAACATCGTACTCCAAGTCTTTCAAGAGAGTGTTCCAATTCGTCAATTGTAGTATATGTTTTATCCATCTAGGGTTTAAGAGATAACATAACCTCCCAAATATTTCTAGTATGCCACTATTGTTTAATTTGAAATTTGTACAGATCCGTAACATCACATTAATTTTTCTATGCCCACAAAATTTTGTCGGACAAATAATTAACCTTGTCCACACAAACATAATAAAATTATGGCTTGTGGCATTGCTGCTCACACCGATGCTTTAAAAACTATAGTGACAATTGAACCAAGATTCGATATATTGATATAACCTCGATTCTTCAATTAGTGGAATAGGTTATTCAATTGGAAATAAAAAAAATAAAAAAATAAAGCGTAATCAATAGAAATTAAGATACACACGACTTTGGATTAAGATTTCAAAACATTTGATCACAAAATGGTACAAGTGAATAATAATGATGATTGCTGTAACAACTAGAATCCAAGTTTAAAAAGAAAAGAAAAATAGAAAGTGGCATACTTTATCCATGGAACATGTATATGATAAATGGAAGCTGATGCAGAAATCACTAATCATCTTCCAATCAAACAAATGCACTAAAAGAGAAATGTTATATCATAGAACTCATACATACATGGTGTATAATTCCCTCTACCAATTAATTAAGTGGCTTAACTTTGGTTTGCTAAAGTTCAAATCAACTGCACAGGATAATATTATTGGATGTTCATGTTAAGAATTATGTAAGAACAAATCAGATGATAAGAAAACCAGAAAACTGGGAAAGCTATAGAAGAGAGATGGATAAAAAGCTAGTTCAGATTAAATGTGCCAATAATTCACACTCAAATGATTTTCCCCGTTCCAATAATCTGTCTGCAATTAATTGAAATCTGGATTAAAGACTATATTATCAGATTTAATTTCTTAAAATATGTGTTTGTTTGTGTATGCATGTATCCAACTTGTTCTAAGTGAGATTGCATAAAGTAATCAGGACCAGATCAAATTAATTGGTTAAGATGAAGTGCATTTAATTTAAATTAATGAACATACTTTAACTTTTTGCTTTTTGAAAAACGAGTTCAAAGATGTTTTTAGATTATGTTCCCTTTTGACATTGTTTTATTGCACTTTACAAGAGAAATTGTAATTGTGAGAAGAAAAGTATGGAATCTTAATTTGGTACTTCATTTTTTTATTATAAAAGAAATCCAGTATTTATCTTGTAAGATGTACCAAAATTACTTCATTTTTTTCTCTTACTACTTTAGTATTTGAGAGATAAATTAGGAGAGATGGATCACATCAACCATTTGAATACTTTATTTTTCTAACTATCAGCGATAGATTTCAACATAGTTGAAAATAAGCATGCAGAGCTTCTACTTCAGAGTTTACCTGATTCATATGATCAACTCATCATCAATATTACAAATAATAATATTGATGGGAATATGCATTTTGAGGATGTTGTTGGAGTTATTCTTGAAGAAGAATCCAGGAGGATGAGTAAGGGCGAAAGTTTCAATCAAGCAGAGACTTTGACAATGATGAGAGGAAGATCAACGGAACATGACTCGAGTAATGATAGATCGACTCGAAGTAAGAAGAGTTCTAAAATTAAATGTTACTTTTGTGACAAGAAAGGGCATACGAGAAAAGAATGTTGGAAGAGAAAGAATGGAGGAAATAACTCTGAAGAATCAATCTCACAAGGTTGTGTTATAAGTACCTCGAAAGATGGAGATATTCTGGTGAGTGAAACAGTAATTAGCTCTAATGGTGAAAAGGAGTTTCATGACAAGTGGATAGTGGATTCAGGTGTAACATGGCACATGACTCCGCACCGAGATTGGTTTCACACTTATGAACTATTCTCAGGTGAATCTGTCTTCATAGGAAACAACCATGCATTGGATTAATGGAATTGGTACTGTCAAAATTAAAATGTATGATGATATTGTTCGCACAATTCAAGGGGTACGACATGTGAAAGACTTGAAAAAGAATCTATTGTCCATAGGACAATTAGATGACCTCGAAGGTAAGATCCATGTTGAAAATGGAATCTTGAAGGTGGTGAAGGGGAGTTTGATGGTCATGAAGGCAAAGAAGACTGTGGCAAATTTGTATGTGCTTCTTGGAGATACGTTGAAAGAAGTGGATGCATTAGTTGCGACAACAAGTCAGGAAGATGCAGTGATCATGTGGCATCATAGACTTGGTCATATGTCAGAACGTGGTTTGAAAATCCTTGCAGAACGTAATCTCTTACCCGGACTTAAAGAGGTTAGTTTACCCTTTTACGAGCACTGTGTGATAAGCAAGTAACATAGATTGAAGTTTACTAGAGTGTTTGCTTTTCTTTATGGAGATCTTGAAGAGGAAATTTATATGCTCCAACCAGAAGGCTTTAAAGAACAAGAAAATTTGGTTTGCAGGTTGACCAAATCTCTATACACTCTAAAGCAGGCGCCCAGATGTTGGCATAAAAGATTTGATTCCTTCATTTTTTGCCTTGGTTACAATAAACTGAGTTTAGATCATTGTACATACTACAATAGGTTTGATGATAATGATTTTGTTATCTTGTTATTGTATGTGGATGACATGTTGGTAGTAGACCCCAACATAGATCGAATCCAAAAGTTAAAGGCACAATTGGCTAGAGAGTTTGACATGAAGGACTTGGGACCAACAAACAAGATTTTAGGGATACAAATTCACGAAACAGAAAAAATATGAAGGTTTGAATTTTTCGGAAGAATTACTTACTGAAAATCTTGCGACCAGTGGTGGATCTTCTTGGGAGCTGAGGGGGGCCGTGACCCCCCAAAGTTTTATAACTCTCATATAATTTATGATTTTGGCCCTCCAAACTTAATAAACATTTAATATATTTACTTGTATATTTACAATTCTATCCTCTCAGCCCCTCCTCAATTTTGTAACTCCCATGTAATTTATGACTTTGTTCCCCTCAAACTTAATGATTATTTAATATATTTAAATATATATCTACAATTTTATCATTTTACCATTTCATCTTCTTTCTTCCTTTTATATTTATTTATTATTTATTAATAATATATTATTTGGCCCTCCCAAGATCAATGGTCAAAATCAGTCACTGCTTGCGACGCTTCAACATGCAAGATTACAAGTTAATTTTTACTCCATTTCCTATCAATTTTAAGTTATCCTCAAGTATGAGTCTCAGCAATGAAGCAGAGAGGATGAAAATGTCTCGAGTACCGTATGCATCAGCAGTGAGGAAGTCTTATGTATGTCATGATTTGTACAAGACCAGACATTGCATAAGCAGTGAGAGTAGTTAGTAGATTCATGGGAAATCCTAGTGGAGAGCATTGGACTGCTATAAAGAGGATCCTTAAATACATGAAAGGAACCTCAGGTGTTGCATGATGTTATGGAGGATCAGATCTAGTTGTCAGAGGCTATGTTGATTCAGATTTTGCAGGTGATCTAGATAAAAGGAGATTCACTACTGGTTATGTGTTTACAGTTGTAGGAGGGGCAGTAAGTTGGTTATCCAAGTTACAAGATGTTGTAGTTCTGTCTACCACAGAAGCTGAGTACATGACAGTCACCCAGGCATATAAGGAAGTTATTTGGATTAGGAAGATAATGGAGGAACTTAGGCACATAAATAACAAATTGTTGTGTATTGTAACAGTCAAAGTGTCTTGCCCATTGCAAGGAATCTAGCCTTTCATTCTAGGACAAAACACATAGGAATAATATATCATTTTGTTCGGAAAGTAGTGGAAGAAGGAAGTGTGGATATGCAAAAGATTCACACGGATGCCTCATTGGTGATTCCTTTTCTTACTATAAAAGGAGTACAATATTTACCTTATAAGATGTATTAAAATTACTTATTTTTCTTTCTCTTGTTGCTTTAGTACTTGGGAGATAAATTAAGAGAGAAAAATAGTTTCTCCTATTAGATTCTCTTAGAGTTGTTTTTTCTTTATTTTCAGGAGAGAGTATTATTGTTTTCTCCTTAGAGATAGATAGAAGGGTTATAATTTTTTTTCATGAGTGGAATTACTATTTTGCTTATTGTTAATATTTTTCTCATCTTTTTTATTTTAGTTATGTATAATTATATTTTTGTCTAATACCTAACAGTAATTATTACTGGTGGAAATATATTATTTGTTGCCTCATTGGTGGAAATATATTATTTGTTGCCTCATTTGGATTACGCTGATCTAAATATATTAAATAAATCAGTTTTTAAAATTTATTTAACTAAATAGGTTTATTTAGCCTAGGATTATTGTTGTATTACTTTTTTATTTAAAGTTCATTTGTCTATGTAGGTGTATTTGTTAATTCAAAAATATACTAAATATGGTTTTAATAAAAAAAAAGTTTTATATTTAAGAAACAAATAAACAAATTCTATTAAAACTTAAAAAAAAAAACTACATTAAAAAAAGTCGATCAAACTCGACACTAAGGTTTTAAAATAATTTAATCGCATATATGCCAATCAAGCTTAAATCTCAAGTTTACAAATCAAATTAATCGATGAGAAAAAACATGTTTTAAATTAGATATACAACTATTAAGGAAAGTGCATTGTGAATGCCTCACCAATACACTATTTAATAACCAATTTATTGTATTGCCTTCAATAAATAAACAATCCGCAAGTTTCTACCCTATAAACCCAAATCTGTACCTGGGAAAAGTTTCTGACATATCCACGTCCTAAATCTATTTGGGCTTGTCTTGGGCTTTTGGCAGAATTTTAAGCCCTTTTTTTAAACCAGAAAATAGCCAATTACTTTGTTGAACATTATAAAGAATAACTTCTTTATACAGCTTCTATATAAACTTTTTCATCATACACACTTTTCAAAAAATATTCAGATTTTAAAATTAAGATTTGAGTTTTAAATGAGAAGTGAAATTTTCAAGTGGGGTCTAGAATACCAATCACAATAGAAGCTGAAGTGTCAAAAAAACAATATGTATTTGCCAATAGGAATGAGGCAATCTCACCTTATCCACACTCCAACCACAACCTTTTATTGCGTTTGTGGTATCCACTCCTTATCAGAAATCCTAGGCCTCAAAACAACACAAGAAAAATAAAATAAAAACAAAAAGAATAGAGCCACTAGGATTAAGAAGCACACAATTTGAGTTGGTTTTAGTTTTCTTTTCAACTTGGATCAAAACACAAAACTTGCATCCACCATGTCTGCCATGAACTCTAGTGTCTTGGCCTGTAACTATGCCAGATCAGGATGCTCCGACCTTAATGCCAAGCTTTCTTCCATGCCTTCGGTTGCATCTCCACCAGTGTCTGGTCTCAAGTTGCCCATCATCAAGGCTCAGCAAGCAAAAGTTACTGAATCTAAATCAAGCGAAGGAAGGAGAAGTTCCCTTGTTTACTTAGCAGCTACCCTTTTCACTGCTGCAGCTGCTGCTTCCAACTCTCCTGCCAATGCTGGAATCATTGAAGAATACCTTGAAAAGAGCAAGGCCAACAAGGTCTTTTCAAACCCTTGTCTTTGTCACACACACATCCATGGTTTGGTTACTCTCAATTTATCTTTTTCATGCATAAATTTAACTAGTTTTTAATGGATAATTGCTACAGGAACTGAATGACAAGAAAAGGTTAACTACAACTGGGGCCAATTTTGCAAGAGCATACACTGTGGAATTTGGCACTTGCAAATTCCCAGAAAACTTCACTGGTTGCCAAGATCTTGCTAAGCAAAAGGTATATGCTCTGTTGGTTTAACTTATATATTTTTGGAAAATAATTATATGTTTTCATAAGTTTTTTAATTAGATTTTAAAAAAAAAAGTTATTGATTCCTTTCAACTATATAGTCTTCATATCAAACTTGCATGACACTGACTCAAAAATTTTACTTTGGTTTCTTTTGATGAACGCAGAAAGTGCCTTTTCTTTCTGATGATTTGGATATAGAATGTGAAGGAAAGGACAAATACAAATGTGGTTCTAATGTTTTCTGGAAATGGTGAAATGGGCAAAATTTTCCCATATCAAACTTCTCCATGACAATGTGCCATAATTTTCTGTATTATTCTTATCATTAATGCTGCAGTTGATGGTAATCTCTGTTGGCTGTAAAAATAGCAGAAACTTAATGGAAGTCTCTTTCATTTACATTAAACCACTCCAAATGCCTTGTTGGTTCTTTTGAAATTCATAACTTCCACTGATTCTTCTGTTATCTTGTTTCCAAACCAGAACTCGGGGAACAATTATCAGACTCATCTGCTTTTCGCTGTTGTTCTAACATCTGATAAAAAATAAATTATTCTCGTGTCTGAAACTTGTTTATAAAGTATAACAAGCTAATTTTGCATTCGATGATGCAAAAGGTAACGTGGGGGCTGAATTGTTTATACTTTTGGATACGTGTTGAATAATTTACAAGGTAGTAGCCTAAAGCAATTGATTCATCCATTACCAAATATTTCTAACCTGATATAGGATTTCAAGATATATTTTTCAATACATCTCAAACATCAAAGATAAACATTAAAGAACACAAAGAATAAGAATATCAACATCATGAACATAGATTAATATCTCAAAATATCAGTAAGATACAAAAAAATTCAAAGGAAGTGCACTCAATCCTAAAAAAATGAAGTTAGTCACTCATGATGACCATTGCAATTATCCAATGAAGAAGAATTTATGAAGAATTGAAGATTGGACGAAAACTGGAGTAAATTTCGCATCTTTTCTCAAAATCTCGAACTCATTTTCTCAAAATACATCTTATCTTTTTATATAAAAATTTCGCTTCATTCGTTTAAGCGAATATTTTCGCTCAAGCGAGCACTAATGATTTTCACTTAAACGAGAATTTGTTCGCTTGAACAATTGAATTCCTGAGAGCTTTAATGTATTTTCGCTCAGACGAGCGTCAGTCTCACTCGCGCGAATGATTTCCAGAAAGATTTAACTTATTTTCGCTGAAGCGAGCATCTATCCGCTCGAACAAATCTTAGGCTGAAAATCTTTTTTTTTTTTATTAACTTGATAATTATAATTCTTCCTCTTGTACCCAAGTATTCTGTAAATTCATCATGTATTGAAAGAAAAATAGATTAAAAACAACATAATTTAAATAATTAAATAATAATTCACAACTTAATTACATCAACTTTTTTACTTAAGAATACCCTGTCTACAACCATAAATATTAAGATTTTGATGATAACACCTTAATTTGTGCATAAAATATATTCAATAAAATATATTCAATAAAAAATTAATGAGCGTAGTTATATTTAGTTGGAACAATTATTATAAATATACTTTTGAAATGATTGATTTAAATAAAATAATAATAATATTGAAATGTGGACTTCTCCTATCATCGCTACAGGAACAACCATTATATATAACAATTGTAATTCATATATCATAAAAAATATGTTGGTATTTTGTAATTATATATAAAATTTATGTCAATTCATATTATAACTGACATATAATTTGAATAATAATTGAAGGGTGATAGTAAATAATTTTCTATATCAAATTCAATTATATATTGTATATCTCGAATTAAGCCATGATAAGTGTTTTAGGACAGGACATGTCTACGTTGTGCCAAAAGAGCAATGTTTGTTAGCAAAATAATAAGAAACAAGATAACAATACAAGTTCCTATATTTGTTATGACGGAACAATAAAAAGTTATTAATTTAATAGAATCAAATCTTTTAGGTTTGATAAAGTAACGATTTGATATACGAAGAGGATTATATTTAGAATAGTCGTCTAATTAGTAAAAAAATGTTATTATATTATTTTTTAAAACTATTATTAAAATAATTTATATTTTTCATTTATTTAAATATATATATATATATATATATATAATAAAAGAAAAATATTTGTCACGTTAATATACATAAATGATAAGTTGAAATTTATAAATATTTGTTCTTGAATAATTTTGTTATCTCTTTCTGTTATATTCATATTATATAAACTAATTTATTATTTTTATAACAGTTGTAAAAAATATCTTTGTATTTAATTATATTTGTTTTGGAGATTAAAAAGATGTGAGACCATTGAAGTGTCTATCTCTTTATTATTTAGATTTTTAAAAATTATATTAAAAATGGAAATAACAATGTTAATACTATTCTTTTGAGCAACTGAACTATATATTAAGTATATTTCAAGTGGGACCTAACTCAGTGTGTTGAACATGACATGCAGCCAATATTTGGCAATATGCCAATGGGGAGTGAGGCAATCTCACCTTATCCACACTCCAACCACAACCTTTTATTACACTTTACTTCTTCATCTCATTCTTTATCAAAAATCCTAAACCTCAAAAAACACACAAGAAACACTACAAGAAAATCGCGTATTACCGATGGATATTTACCGACAGAATTGTAGCCATCGGAAAATAATCATTACTGACGGAAATTACCGATGGATATAAAATATTTGTGAAATTTGATGTTACCGACGGATATATCCATCGGTAAAATAATAATTAGTTACCGACGGATATATCCGTCGATAAATCCGTCGGTAATTTATAGATGAATTTACCGACGGATATATCTGTCAGTAAATCCGTCGATAAATTAACAAGTAATTATCGACGAATATATCCGTTCGGTAAATTCATATGTAAATTAAAAATTATTTACCGACGGATAAATCCGATCGGTAAAATTATATAATATAATTTAATTATTCACTAATTAAAAAATAAAATATTTTTTATTTAATAATTTAATTTAATCATAATTAGATTAATTTATAATAATTTATTAAATTAAGTAATTTTAAAAATAAATATTTAATTATATATAAATATATATATATATATATATATAAATATATAAAAATATAAAAATATATAAATATATAAATATAAAATATAAAAATATAAAAATATATATAAATATAAAATATAAAATATATAAATATATAAATATATATATAAATATAAAAATATATATAAATATATATAAATATAAAAATATATATAAATATATATAAATATATATAAATATATATAAATATATATAAATATATATAAATATATATAAATATATATATATAAATATATATAAATATATATAAATGTATATAAATATATATAAATGTATATAAATATATATAAATGTATATAAATATATATAAATATATATAAATATATATAAATATATAAAAATATATAAAATATATATAAATATATATATATATATATATATATATATATATATATATATATATATATATATATATATATAAATATATATAAATATATATAAATGTATATAAATATATATAAATATATATAAATATATATAAATATATATAAATGTATTTGTATATTTGTATATAAATATAATTTATTTGTAAATTGTTATCAAGAAATTCTAGTAGCTTAGTGGTTGGAGTATCGACTCTCGACTCTAAGGTCCTGGGTTCGAATCCTGCAATGACATTTCTCTTAATCTAACAATAATTCAAAGTTATAAAAATACAATATGGAGAAATAATTGAAATAATAAGAATATAAGGGGGAGGGGTTCTATAAAAAAAATAATGTTATAAATAAGTAAAATATTTAATAATTAATAAAATTATTACCGACGTAAGCGAATTTCCGACGGATTTTTGGTCAGTCGGAATTCGTCGGTAATATTCATTTACCGACGGATTTTGACCGTCGGTAATTTTAATATTTCTTGTAGTGAAAATAAAAACAAAAATAATAGAGCGTGTGGGACGGAAAGCCAATTTCAGTTACTCTTTGAATTGAAAAACATAGAATTCGTTTTATAATTTTTATTCATATTATTTTTGTACACATATACTATGATCTTATAGTATTTTACTCTAACAAATCATGATTAAATATAGGAAGTTCTGAGTATACAATATTTTGTACCGTTATACAAACCTATAATTTAGCTAATCAAATATTTTTATCCCAACACTCCCCCTCAGGTTGGTAAATGGATGTCATACATTCCCAACTTGTCCAATAATCTCCTAAAAATCTGACTTGTCACAGCTTTGGTAAAAATGTATGCCAACTGATCTTTAGATCGAATATTTGGCAATTCCAAAATATTTTTATCAAGCTTTTCCTTAATGAAAAATCTATCAACCTCCACATGCTTCATCTGATCATATTGGACAGGGTTGTGAGTAATGTCGCGCGCAACTTTATTATCACAATACAACTGAATGGGACGTGTATGTGCATACCCTAAATCCTGAAGAAGTAGTCTGAGCCACAAACATTCACAAAGTCCAAGAACCATTCATCTAAGTTCATCTTCTGCACTGGATCTAGCTACAACTTTATGCTTCTTGCTTTTTCATGTGACAAGATTACCTCCTACAAATGTAAAGTATCCAGAGGTTGATTTTCTATCATCAAGAGCATCTGCCCAATCTGCATCAATATAAACCATCACATCCTTGTAGTTGGAGCTCTTCTTGAACATAACTCCTTTTCCAGGAGCAGTTTTTATATAATTTAAAATCCATAATAACAGCATCCATGTGTTTTTCACCTGGATTGTGCATGAACTGACTAACCACACTAAGAGCATAAGCTAAATCTGGCCTAGTGTGTGAGAGATACATCAATCTCCCTACAAGTCTCTGATATCTTCCCTTGTTAGTTGGAGTTTGATCTTCTTCAATGCACAGCTTCAATCCCTCTTCAATTGGAGAATTTGTTGGTTTGCATGCTGTCATTCCAGTTTCTTTTAGTAAATCCAATGCATACTTTCATTGTGAGAGAAAAATACCTGACTTTGATCTTGAGACCTCAATTCCAAGAAAATATTTCAAAGGACCAAGATCCTTCATCTCGAATTCCTTTGTCAAGTACTCTTTCAATGCCTTGCGTTCCTCTAGATCGTTTCCCGTAACTATCATGTCATCAACATAGACAATAAAAATTGTAATCTTTTCTTCCTTTTTCTTTAGAAACAAGGTATGA